CCGCCCGCCTACTGGAAAGGCTTCGGCACCTTAAAGGCCGCCTCGATGTGCAGCACCACTGGCGAGGGTGAGTTTCTGATTTTGCACAGCAGGTCCTGGCTCGTGGCACCCGGAGCACCCCCAGTGAAGTTCAACTCAAAATCACCCACTTCGTTGGGCTCTGGGGTGACAGGAGGGCAGAAAGTGTCCCTCTGGGGCAGGGCCCACAGGTCCCAACTCCACTGTCTTTTTGTCCCCTCTTCGTCCCCACCCTCCTGGGGCAGACCCCTCCCTCCATGCCCACGGTACCAATGGTGCCTGCACAGGGTTCCACCTCAATGATGTGGCAGGTGCTGGTCTTCTCCCACATGTATCTGATAGGTGACTTGCTGTGGTTCCACATCTGAAAGACACACCGCAAGCCACACTACCGGGACACAACCTGTCCGTGCCAAATCCATGCCTGCTGTAGCACTGGGCAATGCAGGCTCCCCGCCCTGGACGTTCCTGGCTGCGGACAACCCAGGAGTGCTCTCAGTCCACCGTGCAGACCTTGCAGGACGCTGGGAAGCTGATCGAATAAGACAGACACGCGGGGACCCGGCGTCTGTGCAGATGAGACTGTGTGAGGGGCCCTTGGGAGCAGCCTCAGACCCCGTTCAGCTTCCTTCTGGCACCCGGACCCAAGCTCAGCCCCACCCCGGCCAGCGCAGACAACGACCCACCTTAAAGCCTTTCTTCACGTTGATGCCAATGTAGTTCTCGCCAGGGATGATGAGGGCGTACGGCTCTAAGAGCACCTTGAAAGGCTCCACCGAGCCTTTCACTTCCACTTCCAGCGCAATCACGTTCTCCTCAGTGCAGGGTGTCTCCCCCGGCTTCTGGGTGTCTAAACTGAACACAACCCACCCTGAACTGGGAGCCCATACGAGCCTTCAGCCCCCTGGTCCCTGCAGACTCCCGGCCCCCTGTGCCTCATCTTGGGTCTCCTCGTGAACTGGAAACTCTCTCCTGCCCCTAGGGACCTAAGGGGCAGGAACACTGGCCACTGCCCTGAGAAGGTAATGCAACATGGTATCCGAGACAACCGTCCAGCCTGGGGCTCAGGACAGGGGCACAACCTCCCCCCACCCCCATCTTGAGACTCTGCTGAAGTGCCCTGGCCTGTGATCTCTGTGCAAGGCAGCCATGGACCCACCCTGATGGCTTGCTTAGGGATGTGGAGACGCCACCATGGAGCAGAACCACCACCTCGGGCCACAAGCCTGGCTGTGGCAGTCGGGCTCCCGGGCGGCCTACGGGTCGTATGTCCAGCGGACTCTGCCCCGAGCAGGGTGCCCACTCCAGGACGAGGTGCCAGGGCAAGGCAGAAGTACAATGGCTCTCCGAGGCCCACTGGGGTCAGGTGGCTTGTTTGTCCCTCCCCAGCACTTTCTCCGGAAGTGTCCTCGAGCCCCGCGCCTGCTTACCCAGTGGGGTCCGGGATGTGCTCTAGCAGCAGCTGGAGCACACTGTGACAAGTCCTGGGCTGCAAGACAAACACACAATGTCCTGAAGACGGGCGCCTTCCAGCCAGGCTGCGCAGGCCGGCTGGGCCGGCAGGAATGCCTCTCCCCCTGGCCTTGCCACCAGAAAACGTTCTCCCTGTTTCAACTAGATCTGAGGTGGGTGGGGTGGGTGGGGGGGGAAGGGGAGAAGCCCTCCAGGCTCACAGTCACCCCTTTGGAAGGCTCTCCATGCGTCACACACCCGACACCTGCCCAGAACACCGAGGACCAGGCCTGCTCCTCTCAGCCACACCTCTGCCAATGGCCCCTGACCACATCCCACCTTGCGCAGCTGCCCAGCTGGCCCCAAGTTAACCTCATAGGGAGAAAAGCTGAGGATGAATTCGTGGTCGGTGTGGGGGTTGAAGACCCCCCGCTGGGGCAGAATGGAGAAGGCGGTCTCGGTGTCAGGGTGGTGCTTGATACTGTCCAGGCTGTAGGTTGCTCCTGGCATGAGTGGCTTCAGGTTGGGCCTCGTGATCTGCCAGTGGAAGGCCAGCTCCACGTGCCTGTGGGGTGAACCCCGAAAATGGGTCTAGTTCCAAAGCCGTGTCCCATGTCTGGCCTGAGCCTACTCTGAGAAGGAGCAGGAAAGGACCCGGAAGAAGGCAGGACCTCTCTGAGAAGCTGTTCCTGGTGAGAGAGGGCCCAGAACCATGTAAGCTGACCTCCTACAGTGGCGGGAATGTTACGCTGCTGAGCCACTGGCCATAGGAGACTACTGAGACCACTTGAAATGGGGCTAGTGTGATGAGGAGTCACATTTTTTATTCTATTTCCTTTTAACGATTTAAATGTAAATATGAGGGGGTACCCACCAAAAAAGGGTATTTTTTTCCCCCTTTAAAGCTATGTATTGAATTTTATTTTTACAAAACAACCTTATTAGCTTCACAGTACTCTCCATTACACTTGATATATTTGTCAAATCTGAAATTCCATTCTTGGAAACATTTTTTAAACCCATCTGTTTGGATGGCTGACAGCCCCTCCTTCATTTTTTCTTCACCTCTTATACATCGTCAAATCACTGTCCTTTCATGTCCCTCTTCATTCGTGGAAACAAAAAGAAGTCACACGGAGCGAGGTCAGGTAAGTCAGGTGCATCGAGCAAGAGAGGCATGCTGTTTTTTGCCAAAAACTGGTGCACTGAGATGACTGTGTGAGCAGGTGCATTGTCGTGGTGCCAAAATCAGTCCCCCTTCTGCCACAAATCGGGCCTTTTTTGTCACACACACAATCTTTTCAGAACCTCTAAATAGAAAACTTGATTGACAGTCTGACCTAGTGGAATGAACTCCAAATGCACTAGCAGTCGACAGTTCCATCCCTTTGGGAAATTGATGGACATCTAGAACAAGGTTTCTCATTAGCCACAATTTCACCTTTTTTTTTAAACAAGAAAACCACTTGAGTTTTTCCCATAGCACTGTCCGTGTAAGCTGTGTTCAACATCACAACAGTTTCTGGGTATTTTTCCTGAGCAGGCAATAACATTTCACAGGCGCATGCTGTTCTCTGAAATCGGCCATCACAAAAAAATGAGGTTTGCGCAAAACTGCTTTTACAAAATAATTCACTGTGACCAGAAAGAACCTTCCCAGGGAACACCACTGGGTGCACTAACTCAGAGTGGCTAGGTGCTTGCCTAGCAGAAGAAATATGTACTACAAAAGCTCCGCTCCGCCCAGCGCAATTCTGGTTTTGGGGGAGTTCCCCCTTGTAGCCACAGATGGCTAGTGGCTATTCTATTGGTGAACATTTTAGATTCTTCCATTCTTTGCCTAGACTCCAACCTCGCCCTTGGGAAGACCCCCCTACTCACTGGGAACTAGGGGCTGGGGAGGCAGGGGTTGGGGTCACTCACGTAGTATTTCTAATGACCAGCTGTCTCTTAGTGGTAGACTGAAGGTTTTCAGGCTCAAAGCGTATGAAATGCTGGGCTGTTAAGTCTGTCAGCTCTCCGGGTTCCGGTTCACTTTTACTGCCAGACACATAGACTAGCTCCAAAGCAGCCAGCTGCCCAGTTCCTGACAAGAGAGAGCAGTGATGCTCAGGATGGGGGACAAGGGATGAGCGCCAAGTGCTGAAGTCAGGACACTGTGGCCTGGCCACAGACCCCAAGTCGCCAGCACGCAACAGCGCTCCGCTGACTTCCCCAGAAACGTCTCCCACCAGCTTCCCCAGAGGTGTACACAAGAGGGGTGCGTGTGTCGTTCATATCACCACAGACATAGATACGCGTGCCCATATCTTGGTGGACCCAAAGGAGGCCATTTCAAGAGTCTAACACCCAGCAGGCACTCAATGCTGCCAAATGCAAGGGGGGTGAGTGGGGGGGGATGGGTGGGTGGGTGGAAGGCTGAGGGGAAAGAAAGAACAAGGACCACAGGAATCCTCGGGGAATTCAGTCAAGTGCCCCTTCTAACCCTCCAGAAAGCAAGAGGTGCCTCTGGCTGGTTCTCTAAGCCCCACGGCCACAGACTTCCCTCTGACTCACAGCCCCGCTCCAGGGAGACTGGGTTTCCCAGGCTGTCAATCCTCACGGGAGCAGACAGCCATCTCTCACCCCCACAGGGCCGCGGGTGGTCTTGAATGGCCAACCTTGCAGCTAGTAGCTTGACCTTAACCCACAGCACACCCAGGGCCTCTTGTTTATGTACAAAGGCATTGGCAATCCCTTCAAAAGAGCCAGGGAGGCTTCAGTGAAGCGCTGGACGGTCTCCCCCAGGGCTCTGTTTCTCAGGAGACATCTCTGTGGGGATTGGCTTGGAGGTGGGTCTCTGTGAGGGGGGCCTCCCCATACCCCCTCAGTGTGCTCCCAGACAGAGGGCAGCTTAGCCTCCCTGGAGCAGGGAGGGGAGGTGGGAAGCAGGGATGACCGCTCTAGGTCTGGCCCTGAAAGGGCACGCAAGCCCACCTATGGTCACCAGCTCCTTGATCTGGCAGTTGTCACACACAATGAGGAAGGTCTGCTCTTCCCTTTCTAGGCTCCTTGGGAGGAACAGGACCTGGGGAGAGATGCACGCCGTTAGCAGGGGCCCCCACCTCCACCCCTGCTCTTCTCAGACACACCATTCAACCCACACCCCCTTCCATACACCAAAGGGAAGGAGCGAGGAGTTCCAACGAGGCCCCCCGGGTCAATGTGGGGAGCATGCTGAAAGGATACAGAGAAGAGGTGCACAGAAAAGGAAATAAAAACAGCCCTGAAGCAAAGGGCAGTATGTTTGACTTCATTCATCATGAAAGACATGGCCATAAAAACCAGCCAGGAGAATCACTGTTCACTTTCCATGGTGGCAAAGAGCTGAAAGTGAGCTTCCAAATGCAGGACGGGCTGTTGTGAATTGTCATCAAAATCATCTTGGGACCAGAGTGGGTGGTGGTGGTGGGGCTGTAGGTATGAAGAAGCTGTAGAATGGGCCAAGAGCTGGTCATTGTTAAGGCTGGGTGATGGGTACATGGGAGTCAATTATACTCATCTTTATTTTTATATCGGCTTAAAAATGTAATGCCTTTTTGTTTTTCAAGTTTGCTAACGTGTTATATTGCAAGGGTGTGAGAAAACAGAAGCCCTCACACATGGCTAGTGGGAGAATAAATTGGTACAGTCTGCACAGAAGGCATTTTGGCCCATGTATCAGATTATGAGAGGGAAGACCCTGGACCCAGAAAGTCTCCTTTAAGGACTCTACCCCCAGGCAGACTCACACAAGGACTGGGCGAGGTATGCATACACTAGTCAATGGCAGAGCCAAATATCAGACAAACTCTTTGTGCCCACCAGGCGGGAACTGCTGAACAGAGCTACAGTCCAGGCACAGAGGGGAATACTATGCAGGTGTGAAAAGTTTAAAAAAAGATATGCATGAGCTTTGAGTTATCATGTTAAATGAAAACATGTGGGGCAGAACAGAGTGTAGAGAAGGAAATTAGTTTCACAAAGGAGAAATGGAAGAGGGGAGGTGGGGGGAAATCCATGAACAACTTGCCAAGCCCAGCTCAGAAGTGCACTTGCCACCTGCTAAGGCAGGGGCCTCTCCTCTCGGGAGAGGCTGGGGTGATGGGGGGTGGGGAGGGCATTGCACTGCTGATCTGTTTGCATCTTTGAAATGTTAACTCGTGAGGATCAAATCCTCACTGGGGAAGATGAATGTTTAAAACAAGTAAGCCCACAGACACAAAATTGACCAGCATGCAAAAAAGAATGTATGGGAGTGAGTCTCCCTCCCTAACCCCCACCCCCTACCCTTCCCCAAAGGGACCAGCTGCCACCCTCTTCCTCCCCTGGGAGATCACAGGAGGGTGGGACAAGGGGGAAGTCCTGGCTTGGCCAGGGGATGCCAGCCCTCAAGTTCCTTATAGTCACAGCAGGGCTCTGACACGGAAGGCCAGGGCTGCCCCCAGGGGAAGAGCACCCGGCCTGTGTGCGGACCTTGCCCAAGCGGCCTGGCCCTCAGCAGCAGCGGAGCAAGGGTGGTGCAAGGCCCACCGTGGGCCTAGGCGGCCGAGTTCCAGCCCTGAGAGCCAAGGCCTCATTGAGGAGCCGGTCAGCAAGGACACAAACCAGCGAGCCCAGCTCCAGGGCTCCAGACTGAGTTCTGGCAGGCACAGGAAACTGAAAAAGGCTGAATGAAGCCAAAGCCAAACGCATAGCCATACGGCATCGGAGTCAACCTGATGGCGGTGCGTTTGGTCCTCTGCAGCCCTGCTGACAAGCTTTGCTGCACATCACCAGCACCTGGGAACTTTCAAACTGCTCGCGCCCCGGCCACACCCCAGAGCAAGAATCTCTGTACCTCAGGGCTGGGACTTGTGCATCAGTGTTTGCAAACCTCTCAGGGGACGCCCATGTGCTCCCCAGCGTGAGACTCGGGAGGATCGTGGATTTCACAGCCTGAGAACAAGGTGCTATCCAAACCCACCCCCAGAAGTCCCGCCGACTTCACTCCCGGATGTCGGGAGCCAAGCAGGCTAGTGAGGCAGGCCATGCAAGAGTGAGTAGCCAGCCCCACACCCAGCCCCATCCTTGCTCGGCTGCGGCTGAGGCCAGGCCACTTCTGCAGGGTCCATGGGGCACTGGGCCAGGGAGTTGGAGAGGGTGAAAGAGTGGGGCCAGAGGGGCAGGCAGGAACTGGCATTTCTCAGGCACTTCTGAGGGTGAGCAGGGTGCCAGGTCAGAGCAAACACTGAACGGGGCAGTTGGAGGGTCCGAGGGTTAACACCTGTGGAATAAGACTGAAGGAAGACAGGTCCCACCGACCATAGAGACTGAGGATACAACAGCAAAGGGAGGACCCCAGTCACCCGCATCACCCAGGCACTAGATGGGGGCTAGTGGGGTGGTGGCTAGTCCATGAGAGACTGCAGGATCCAGGAAAGACCTGATGACGGAGGTGACTTCCGGGCTAAGGTGTGGTCAAGTGAGACTCAGGGAGGATGGGGATGCCAGGGCGGGAGGCCCTGAGACAGCCAGATGACATTGCCCCACGGAATGCAAGAGCATGCTCGTCCCTAGACACTTCTGAGGCTGGGGTGGCTGGGGAGCAGACAGTGGGTCTTGAGCACCCAGGAGGGAAATGAAATCATGTGAGCCTTTGATGAAATCGCCCTGACGAATCAAAGGCAAAGATCATGTACCCAGTTGGCATCTAATGACCTACCTCCACCAGGACAGCCTGCCCTGGGGCCAGCTCAAACACTGAAGGCAGGACTCCAAAGGGAGGCTGCTCAACGAAGCCACTGTTGGCCACGGCCTGAAGGAAAAGCAAAGCGTCATGTGGTGCCGGGGAAGCCATTGAGAAACTGCAAAGTTCCCTCCAAACGCTCCTTCTGCAACATGAAGGATCGTAAGGATCCGCCCGTCCTAGGCTAATGGAGGAAACCAGAGCTTGCTCACTCAGCGAGTGTTTACTCAGCCTGCGCTGTGCACCACGCACCAGTGAGTTCGGAAGATGAAAGGCCAGTGAATTATAGAAACGAAAAACCAAATTCATGGCCGTGGACTCATTGTGACCCTATAGGACAGGTGTAGACCTGGGTCTGTGGGTTTCTGAGACGTTACGGGAGGAGAACTCCCATCTCTCTCCTGAGGTACAGCTGGTGGTTTTGAACCGCGGGCCTGGCGGTTGGTTAGCGGCCCCACGTGTACCGCACGGCAGTCACAGAGCGTCTGCACAACACTGACTGCTGGGAGGAGGGAAGAGGAATACCCTGGACGCGTTCTCAGACAAGGAGGAGTGAGAGAAGGCCTTGCAGAGGGGTGGGCTGAGAGGTCCCTCTTCCTCAGGACCCTCCTGCTGCACCTGTATTAATCAAACCCAAACCTGACTCACTGCCAGGCAAGTCGGTTCCAATGCCTACAGGAGAGGGAAGAATCGCCCCTGTGGGTAGGAAGCTTCATTTTCTCCTGAGGGGAGGCTGGGGGGTTTGAACTGCTGGCCTTACGGTCAGCAGCCCAACACACAGCTAGTGCCCGCTTATTGGTTGCCTTTGCTCTCCACCTGGGCCTGGCTGTAAGCGCCTGAGTCATAAGGTCAACTCGCACGTGGTTAGCAAAGCTACATCCCTGGGACCTACACAAGAAGCCACCTGGCATGCCAGGGCCACCAACCCATGAACGAGTGAAATCTATTTTGGGGAACGCGCAGCCCTCTGGATGAGATGAGCAGAGAGAAATGTCTCCCCTGTCAGGAGAGCCGTGATGTGAGCCTGAGAAGCGGGTTGGTGCTGGGCTGCTGCAGGGAGCGGTGGAGCGAGCAGGGTACTGGGGGGAGTGGGCTGGCCCCGCCTCCAGCTGCAGCCAACCCTGACCACAAACACCAGGTCTTCCAACTGCTCAGAGACAGGAAGCACAGATTCATATGTGAAACCGCCCTAGTGGCAAATGTTGGCTCAAAACCCAGCGTTTGCCACTGTTATCACATAAATACGCCAGCAGAAGGCAGCCCCACAGAGGTTCGGATTTGTGGCCTCGGATATACTTGAGCATTTGCTCCAGGGACGCTGACAGAGGACTGAACACAGGGACACTGGGCTGGGCTCTGAAGACGCGCAGAGGTGACACAGCTTGGCCAAGGCCTGACCTGCCATCCTATTCTCCATATGCATACGTTCTTGTGTGGACGGCCGCTGGGCTGGGAGGTTATGAAATCCTGTTTTCTGGGTATTTCCAATCTTAGGCGTGTTCTAGCAGGTCCCTCACCCGGGGGTTCTTCCCTTTGGAGGATCACTCTTTTCCCAGGTAGATGCTCCGCAGTCACTCACCCTGAAACTTGGCGGTGGCCAGTACTTCTTGGGCATAATGCAGAACTTGCCGACGCTGAAGCCCACATTTTTGCAGATGAATCTGGTTACCTTCATTCCCCCGAGGAGGCAGTAGCCACAGTCCAACACTTGAGGTACTGCAGCCACGGGAAGAGATGCGAAGAAGAAACAGCACGTCAACTGGAACAGCCAGAGCTGGGAGGACGCCTTCCACTACCCTGAGCAGATGGGTTGCAAGGGGACATGCTCTGACCCTTGGGCCAGGCGGTAGGCAGCACCCTGGGACTCTAGCGGCTCCTGACTAGAGCCACAGCCATCAGTACCCACTGGATACTCATGCCTCATTCAGACCAGGCAGTGCGGCAGCCGGGGGTTGGGGCAGTGGCGGGCGATGGGGTTCCAACTTCTGGCCTGTGCTGGTCTGAAACCATGGGAAACTCCAGAGAACCCAGTGAAATCCAGTTTTCCAAAGGAAGAGCGGCCCTACAGGGCTGTCATTGGCTGAGAAAGGGCCCACACCCTCCTTCCTCGCCTCCGGGTGGCACAGGCTCACTCAGCAGAGGCTCTGCAGCCAGCAACACTCCTGTTGGGAGCAGCCAGGCTGCTGCCTCCTCCTCTGCCACAAGTCATTCAAAGTCAATCTCTCCTGAGAAAACCAGCCACCAGGAGGGCCCCCGGGTCTGATGCCATGGAAGGTTGATCCTCAGCACCCAGAAGCCCCCAACCCAAGAGAAGCAAGCTGTGAGCTGTTACAAGGGGCCACTGAGCAGCAGGCAGTCCCCATGGGGCCTCTTGACACCCTCTCGGGCTCCCTGGGAGGGAGAGAGCATACTCACAGGTCAGCACTGGAGGCGGCCTCCGGGCCTGCAGGGGGATCAGGAGTGTGTGGGTTGACTGGGTCTCTACTAAAATAAAATCGTCAAAATCCCCGAGGCAGTCGGGAAAAAACTGGACAATGAACTGGCAGGTCATTCCAGGAGCCACCATTCCGCCTTTGCCCGGGAACATCCCTGTGCATGACAAGAGCCATCGGTGAGGCTCAAGAGATCAGCCAGCCGGCCGGCCACCAGGACCCGGGCTCAACAGCTTCAGTCAGAGGCCTGGGGCCCAGAGCGACTGGATGAGCAAACGCCTCCTGTGCAAGGCCAGGGGGAGGGCAGAACATCGGGGGTATGCCAGGGGAACGGGCTGCCAGGGCAGGGGTTCCAGACAGAGATGTCAGACCCTGGAATGGGTCAGTGGGATTGTGTGGCCTAGAGCTCGGTTTGTGGGAAGCAGAGAGTCGGTGAGATTTCTGAGCAGGGCTGACATGACCAGAGCCGTTCCTGAGAAAACACTCATGTAGCATGGAAGCAAGAGCGTCGGCTGGCTTGGGGGCTATTTCAGTGCTCTGAATGAGGAATAGAAGGACCCGGCTGAGAGCAGTAACAGGGGAGGCCCGTGCAGAAGTAGGGTTGGCAGAACCAGTGCCTGGATGGAAGTGGTCAAGAAAAAGCTGTCACGACCAAGCTTCGCAGCTGGGGCCCAAGAAGGGTGCTTAAGGGTCTCACCAGGACAAGCAGATTGGCTGCTGGGTGTACATGGACGAACCCTACCACCACCACCACCCCTAGTGGCTGCCTCGGGAAATGTGGGCCTGAGCTCAGGGCACAGGTGTGCGGCCGCCATAGGTGGGCTAAGGGGGTTAGTAAGGGAGAGAGAGCCCAGCAAGGAACTTGGATGCCCTCCAGTCAGCCACTACTCGGAACTCACCCAATCCGAGGGCAAAGTATGGAGTGGAGGGGGGAAGGACTCGCAGGTAGCGGCTGGTTGCTGTGGTGTTCTGCAGAGCAATCACCATCTGTTCAAAGGTCAAAGGGTTTGCTTTTAGATAGAGATACGCATAGATAGAATGATAGGATGTCCACACTGGCTTTAAGTAATACGGGAGGGGTGACATAAAGGAAATGAGCTTGGCCATGACTTGATACCTGTTGAAGGTAAGCAGTGGGGATCTAGTGTGCTCGTCTATCTGTTCTGGTTGTGTGTGACGGTTCCACAGTATCAAGTGTGAAATATGGGGGTGGGGGGGAATGAAGGTGAGTATAGAGCGGACCACTTCGTTGTCCTATCATTTAAAATAACACCTACTGCGTGTGGAGCACATGCCTCCGTGCCCTCACAACTGGGAAGGGCCCATCAGCTGCTTAGCAACAGGGCTGACATTTGACCCTAGAACATCTGGCTCTGCAGTTTTGCCCACCCCACCACTCAGCTTCCAGCAAACACTGTCTTCTGCCCAAAAATCATTTGGGGCCCATTTTCATCCCATCGGCCCAGTCATGAGGGGTCGCAGGGCTTTTCTCCATAATTTGACTTACTGAGTCCCCTATGAAGTCCCACCTTCCTTTGTGACTTCCCCAGATGGGGAGGTCCCTAGGGCAGGACGCCCGAGCCAAGCCACATGCCTCATCTGCATGGAGAAGCCGAACAAGGGAAACCGAAGAAGAAGCGATGTATTTGCATTGTGGTGCTGGGGAAGAATACTGAGAGTACCATGGACTGTAAACGGGCAAACCGATCTCTCTTGGAAGAGTGCTCCTTAGAGGCAAGGCTGGGGAGACTCCATCTAACATACTTTGGACATGTCCTCGGGATAGACCAGTCCCTGGAGAAGGACATCACGGTTGGTAGAGTGAAGGGCATTGAAAAAGAGGAAGGCCCTCAAGGAGATGGGTTGATACAGTGGCTGCCACAATGGGCTTAGGCCTGGTGCAGGACCGTGTTTCACTCTGTTGTGCACAGGGTTGCTATGGGCCAGAACCAACTCAGTCGCACCTAAGAACCACCACATGGGCGAGGCTGGGAACTCACACATCACTAAACTCCCAGCAGCACCCAGCAGAGAAGAGGAGCTCCATGCATGTGTGGTTGTTGTGGGTGCTATCAAGTTCTCTGACTCATAGCCACCCTGTGTACAGCAGAACAAAACCCTGCCTGGTCCTGCGCCGTCCTCACAATACACAGATGCATATTTCAGTTTTCTTTTCTTATTGGTTCATTGTCTGCATTCCCATCTAGGTTGTAAACTCAACAAGTTTAATGTCAACTTGATAAAAGAATGAAGGGGTGGAGTCTAGCCTGTCAATCAGGCCACAGCCTGATGAGTCCCTCCTTGTGGGTGTGGCTTTCCCATGAGGATTCTGGGAACTTCCATTCTCTTGATTCTGCCACCAGAAGAGGTGGCTCCTCTCTCTCTGATTCACATGCCTGTTGGCCAAGCCAACTGGAGCCATGCTGATGGCAGCCAGAGCCCTGGGATGCGTCCACTGCCATTGGATGCACAGGATTTTCTACACACCGGCCTGTGATCTTCCGGCATTTGGCATCATTGCATGTGCTGCATGATTCTGAAGAGGAATTCATGGGCTAATATCAGACTTATGGGCTAATATCGAACATATGGACTTTATCTGGACTGGGCGGGATGTTTCATTGATGCATAATTGCTCCTTGATATAAGGTTCTGTCTTACACACATATGTGTGTCAATGAATTTGTTTCTCTAGTCATCCCGGTCTAACACAATCATGAAGGCCTTAAAATAATAGCTCGTTATGATGGATGTTAGAGTTGGTTTACTCACCAGTCTGAAAGCAATATAAATTTAAGCTGGTGAGAAGGAGGGCAAGATAATCATGTGTGCGTCGTGATAGCACAATTACTAAGACTTCGCCACAGGTTAACTGGAATGAGGTGTAGGTCGAAGGACAGGCACTGAGACATGTGACAGCTGTGGGGTTTGGCCTCGCGAAGGCATCATTCTAAGAACTGTGGAGTGGACAAGCCTTCCTAATAGCACTAGGAACCATCAAACATAACTGCAAATGTACACACAATAGCAGGAGACAAACCACATGGATGTTCCTTGAAATTAGACATGTACATCAAAAAAACGCAAAAGGAGAACCCACAGATTGGGAAAGAAGTTCTGGCAGCAATATACTGAACCAGGGGACTAATCTCTAAAGTTTACAATACCTCAACAACAACAAAAAGAAAAACATGCCAAATAATCCAATTTAACAATGAGCCAGGGACATGAATAGATACCTTAACAAGGAATATTTTCAGGTGGCCAAAAAAAGCATGACAAAATGCTCGAGATCATTAGCCATTAGAAAGATGCAAATCAAAAGTAGCTATCCTCTCACCCCAGCATGAATAGTGATGTTATAAATAAATAAATAATAAGCAACGCAGACTGCAACAAATGCTGGGGACACATAGAGTTGGCCAAGGGAGAAGGCCATATACAATAGGTGGGCAGACAGCAAAAATGGTAAGAAGAAAGGAAGACACTGGGAGAAATACAAAAGTTAAAGGCAACAAAGGTAAACAGTATTCTATATACAATCCTGCAGTAACAGTAACCTACACGTGTGTGTTAGTCTGAGTAGACTAGAGAAACAAATCCAGGGAGACTCATATGTGTATAAGAAAGAGCTTTATATCAAAGAGCAATTGTATTTTGAGACAACATCCCAGCCCAGTCCACATCAAGTCCATAAGTCCGATATTAGCCCAAATGTCCAATACCAGTCTGTAAAGTCCTCTTCAGACTCACACAACTCATGCAATGACACTGAGTACAGGAAGATCACAGGCCAATGGGTGGAAAGTCTTGTGGATCTAGTGGCAGTGGAAGCATCTTACCACTGGCACAGGTTCTCCATGTGGCTCCTCCAGCTCCAAGGCTCTGGCTGCCATCAGCATGGCTCCATGTGGCTTTTCCACAGGAATATCTCACAGGGAGAGAAAGCAGAGAGAGTGTGTGTCTTGCCTCTAGGGAGGAAAAACAGGAGTTCCCAGAATCCTCAGGAGAAGGCCATGCCCACACAGAGGCTTCATTGGCTATGACCTGATTGACAGGCTAGACTCCATCCCCTTTAGAATTGGACAGATTATGTAACTGCTACAACACAAATATGTAGATTGACATGTAAAGCTGAATACGTTTGGAAAGGAGAATGAACCCATATGTAATATATATATATATATTTGTTTAAGGATATTTCATAATACCTATGCATGCTGCAAATATACCCATGAATATAACAGAATATACCAGTAGGAAAGTTATGAAAAACTCTTAGTCATAACCAAACACTTGGAGGGCGTCTTTCGTTCTGGGGCCACAGTCGGGGAACACTATCATTAACTGGCATAACATAGTCTTTAAAGAGAATGTTCTACATCAGTGTTTCCCAAAGTGGGTGATACTGACCCCTGGGGTGCCAGCATGTGCCATAGGGGCTGTAAAAACAGATACTACACTCTATCCTGGATTATGAGCTAAAGTACAAACCTTTACCATCGCTGGGTGGGGGGAGGAGGGCCCCAGAGGTGGGGGTAGGGCGCTGTTTTTGTTGGGGTTTTTTTCTGAAAAGAGGGTGATGGATCTAATAAGTCTGGGATCCTATAGTCTACATCCTAATTTGGTGTGTACTGACTGGCATCTTAAAGACTTTTGAATGGCCATCTATTGGTCTCTCCTTGTCTGGAGCAAAGAACAGTGAATAAGATAAAAAACATGGAAACAATGAGTTCAATAGATAATGGGCCACACAAACCTGAGCCTCCACAACCCTGACCCCAGATGAACTATATGCTGGCCAGATACGAATACTGACCATTTGGAAAGGGATCACATTAGACTGGTGGGGGTGGGGGGTTGAGGTGGTTTTTTGGGGGTTGGGTGGGGGTTGGAATGTGGGACAAAACTCCAAACCAGACAAAAGACCAGGCTTTCTAGTCAGATGCAGATTGGGCGATTCCCCAAGGTGATGACCCTGGGACACTCTTCAGCCCTAGAACTGAACTCCCTGCGGTGGCTTGATGTTCTACCAGCAGTGACAGGTCTAGAAGGTGAAAAATAACACTGGGAAAGTACTCACTCCTTGAAATCACCAACCATTTGTGATCAGTGGGGCAGCATTTGCTGGGGGACAAAGTTCAGATGGCAGGAAGGGCTAGGGAACAAGGAGGAGTGGAAATGGGAGACAGGTAGGAAGGCAGGTGCGCATGATTACAGTGTGAGGGTGGTCATCAGTGACTCGGAACAGGATGCCTGTGAACTGTGAGATGGAAAACAGGTTTGCTTAGTAAACCTTCACCTCATTCACAATGAAAAGTTAAAATGTAAAACGAGAGTCGCTGAAATTTCTTTTACTATGTTATGTAACTTAGGAATCTTTTTCATCCACCCCCATGGTGGATCTCTTATTTCCCATATTCCATGCTGAGTGTCCCAGTGGCTCCGAGAAAGATGTGTAGGGTCATTCTGAAATACCTTGTCAATGTGAAGTCCTGCTGGTGTGGGGGGTTGCTAACCACAAGGTCAGCAGTTTTATCCCACCGGTGGCTCCAAGGGAGAAAGAGAAGCCTGTCTGCTCCTGTAAAGATGTCCAACCTGGAAAACCCAAAGGGGCAGTTCTACCCTGTCCCATAGGGACACTATGGGCTAATACAGACTCAGTAACAGTGAATTTGGGTCTTGTTGTTGTTGTTTACCCTTACATTTTATAATTTAGCTGAATAAATAGTTATGTACACAACCGTGTTTAAAAGATGCTATCTTTACAAAAGAGGCATCGCAAGATATAATTAAGTCAAAATAGCAAACTAATTGTGGCAGACTCTATTTTCCAAAAATGGTCTTCTAGCACCTCGCCACACCCCATGAAGAAGTGGTGTGTAGGACAACTTCCAAGATGGTGGAGTTAGATATCCAGACTCTCATCCCTCAAAGGAGGGCAGGAGGCAGAAGACGAGAGTACTAGTCTTAGCAGAACTCTGGCA